AATAATATAATACTATAAATACACCTTTGTATTGATTCAATTAAGTTCATCCAAGTTCATTCAATTTTTTTTTCAAATATAATAGAATAAAAATAATATAATATACTGTTGTAAATTGAATTAGCTCCTTGTTTAAGTACATAACTTCAACAAACAATTAATTCAATTTTGTTAATAATGATACAACAGTATTTTCCCCGCACTCGACTCGCAGAGAAAAACGCTTAGTCCAGTTAGAAAGTAGCGCGTGCCGATTTCGACGAAAAACTTATCGTCATCAGTTTTTCGAGAAACATTCCTTCAGGAAAAAGATCGAACGTTTTACGACACACGAAGAACAACGGCAACCGTCCCGGACGTTTCGTTATTCCTTCGATTCTACGCGATCCACTTTCGGAAAACCGTTGCCCGCGTCCTATTGCTTCACGGAATTTGGAATTTGAGGCTCCTCCACGGTCGAGTGGATTCCGGGAACTTGTTTGGTTGAGAATACGTAATTAGTGCCCGAGGTGTTGCCGGCAGTCCGGATGAGTAATCAATTGTTTGCTGTAGAAAGGTACGATACTGTCCCGGAAGTTGGTACTCCACCGTCCGGGTTATAACAACAAGTCGTTGGGCGGACGTTGATGGTGAGCCGACATCGTGAAATCACTGGATTCAATTGTTTCGTGCGTTATGGTGACGCGATTCCGAATACTGACTGGACAAAACGCTGTGTCACGTGACAGATCGATATACTTATTGTTTCGTATGCATCACGTTCGTTAGCAATTGCTCAATATAAGATTCTTTTAACAACAGATATGTATTCATATTGATTGAACAATAATAAAATAAATTTATATTAAATTGTGTGTGAATTGAATTAAATTGAATTAAGTTCATTGAAATTGAATTCTATTGAATTCAATCGAATTAATTCGAATTCTCAGTTGAATTATATATATAAGTTGAATTCTATTGAATTCAGTTTGAATTAAGTAGAATTCTACTGAATTCAATTGAATTAAGTTGAATTAAATTTAATTTCATTGAATTCAATTGAATTAATTCGAATTCAGTTTGAATTAAGTTGAATTCTATTGAATTCAGTTTGAATTAAGTTGAATTCGATTGAATTCAATTGAATTAATTCGAATTCAATTGAATCAAATTGATTTAAATCAACTTAAATTTAGTTAAAAATAAATCTATTATAAATCGTCGTTTATAGAACGAAATTCTTCTTCACTAGATGAAACAATGCCTTCAGCAGTCCAATATTCAACTTCAAAATAATAAGAAGTTTGTATACTTTACAGCAGTTAGTTTGAAATCAGAGCTTGCATTAACATGGGAGATTGGCCGCAAGCAATAATAGAGCAACGCTGAGGAAACAGACGCTACTGAAATTTCCACACGCTCACATACGCATACGAGCAAACACACACCGTGTACAAAATCCGATCGGTAGCATTCCTGTGCTACACATCCGATAACGCCAATGTCGGTGGTACAAGACAAAAACGCAAGGGTTACTTGAACGTGCTGTAACTTGGCGAAAAAAAATCGCAACTACGTTCGTATTTTTTTAAATTAAAGAGGAAGGATCAGGCTTCATTTTTCTGTGAACGGCATCCCCGAAGAAAATTTTACGAAGTCGGTGCATTTCTTCGAACTTCGATATGTTCATATGACGAACATGGCCATATGTTTCATACGTTATAGTGGCGAGGATGCATCAAACTTAGAATCGAGAAACAGCATCCCAAAGTAGAGGTTTCAAGCTTTAATTTAAAAGAAGAGTCAATATCCTATGATGATTTTTCGCAGAATTATCGTCAGTCAAAGTTGGCCAATTTTCAACATAATATTGAGTAATATGACGAATATGGCTTTACATTTAAATGGTTACAGTACCGAAGATGCCGTCGAACCTAGAATCGAAAAATACTATCTCAAAGTAGAAATTCCAAGCTTTAATTTTAAAAAAGTGTCATCATAGTACGATGATTTATCACAGAGTTATCATCCATCAAAGTTGGCCAATTTTTGTCAAAAAAACCTCTCTGCTATAGTTCCTTCGAGCGCTATAATATTGTATAACAACCGGCGCGGCGAAGTTTTCCTTTAAGCCGCTTTTCGACGAGATTCTCGCCGGGAAAACAACGAAGAAGTTTCTCTGTCGAATGCAGCACGCGTATCCATTGTATCCCCGTTCACATAATATCAAGTGTTCGAAAGAGAGTCGCCGGCCGGCCTCTCTCGCGAGCTTGTTTTCACGGAACGCCGCATTTATATGTCCGGAGCGTCGTGCGGACGCGATCGCGGCGAGGAGGTAGCGACCGATATAGAGAACGTCCGCAGCCGGGGGAAAAAACGATCATCGGAGGAAATGTCTAACTGGCTATTAAGCCGGGAAACGGGAGGATCAGGTACGCCGGAAAGGTTACAGAGAGCTATCTTAAATTCGAAAGGGCGCGCTGTGTCGTGCGATCCTCTCGCCGCGCCGGGGTGATCATAAAAATCGTCCTTAAAGGATCGGCCACTAAAATAAATGTCGTTCGCCGCCCTAAGTGCTCGCCCGTCGGATGCATAATGCATCCGGGTCCGAGTTTCTTACGTTCGGCCGGTCGTGTACGATGAAGATGGATTTCACGGGAACATGGAGAGGCACACGGCCGCCTCGGGGTCCACTGAATTATTTGGTACACCGCCCTCCAAAGGTATTAGGTCGCTGGCAGAAAATTAATTAAATTGGAAAAACCGGTAGGATATTCCTGCGATCGCTTTGATTTATTTTGAGCTTAATTCTATGAAACTGTAACTAGTAGATTACATATATTTAACAATATAATGGAATTAATGTTAATTTTATACACGAGAACTTAATTTTCATTCCGTCGATACATCCGCCGCGTTTTTAATTATTCCTCGGACTAATTTATTGTCGAAGGAGCAATTTATTCTTTATTAAAATATTATTTCGTCTATTATTTCTGTTCCATGTATATTGTACTATATGTTCTACGTACAGGGTGTCCCAAAAATATCTCGAAAAGTCTCGCAATCCGAACAGGAGGATTCCTGAGATCATTTGAAGAAACTTTTTCCTTTGCGAAAATGCAATCCGCTGCTTCGTTCACGAGTTATTAACGAAAAACAATGACCAATGCGAAGCGAAGACGGCTGGAGCGAGGCGTGGTGCGAAGTGGAACGCGAGACGCGAGCCAATCAGCGGAACTGGGCTTCGCGCGCTCGTTGGCTCTGCCGCCTCTCGCCGGCTGGACCTCGCCTCTCATTGGTCAGCGTTTTTCGTTAATAACTCGTGAACGAAGCCGCGGATTGCATTTTCGCTGAGGAAAAAGTTACTCCAAATGATCTGAGGAATCCCTCCATGCAACAAACGGGAAAACTAATAATAATATAGTGACAAAGACGTTTATTTAATGTGTTCTTTCGGCAATACGATGTCGTAAAACGCGCAGACATTATTCAAACCGATTGAAAAAAATTGCAATTCATATGAAATAAGAAGGTGTGCTAATACTTTTGGAGGGGAGTGTACACGCGGTAGTACGATGCTTCTCGGGCTAAATTTGCAAAACAGTCGGCCAATGTTTCCAGGAAACCTCGAAATGCTCTGCTCTGAAAAATTGAAGCAACGCGCCGCGACTGAAAATTGAAGCTATTTCAACTCTGCGTACGGGATCGTCGGACAGCCCGAATCTTTCTGTGAATTTCTCGGAGGAAAAAAAGTGTGTCCGAGACAGAACAGAGGCTTTTCATCTTCGTTTCCCGACCGTGCTAACGACTCGTTCGTGTTTCCTTATCCGGCAGAAGATTCGGGCATACAAAAGTCTCTTATCCTACCGAAGTTATGATCGTAGAGTTGTTGATCTTCGAACTCCGGCAACTTCGCGCTAGAAATTCTTAGGATATTCTGGCTGTGCACATCTTGGAGGGCGAAGTTTCCACTTTCGGAGAAGCGTAACTTTCGCCGGAGTTTCTTGTTGCCCCCTTTCTTTGCGAGCCACGCCAATTGAAGCGACTTTGCGCAGCTTCGAAAATTGTTTTCCATATTTCCGACCTTTTTAGCGCGTCCTGCGAGACACCGGGGCTTCCGGGGGCTGGCTACACCCGCGTCGGAAACGTGTATCGACACCTTTTCGAACGGAATAAGCTTTTCATCCGAGGCTGTAACGAAAATATCGAAAACGCGTTCTCTTGATCTCGGTCACCGTGTAGATCCAGAAATTCTCAGAAAAATCTGAGAAAAATCTGAGACATCTCGAGTATCCAAACGCACGCTCCGCAATTTTTGCAGACTTTTCGATTGATAATCCTGCTTGTGAAAAATCGAAGACCTCAAAAAGATCGGAAAATTGCAGATTTCCCGCGGAAGTTCTAGAGCAACAATATTCACATTATTACAGCATCGATATATTGCTGTAATTATCATTCGTGAATTTTTTCAGATTTTTCAATTCGCGACATCACAGTAAAAAAAAATAGAAACCGATTTTCTCGTCGTTTTTCTCAGGGAACACTAAGCCAGCCTTTTAATATTGTTTATGCGTTTCTAACAAAAATGACTAATTGAAGCACAAACCATCGCGTTATTTATGACTCATTAAAATCATGCAAGACCCTGATAAACGTCTGTACGTTTCCTGTTTCTTGCTATCGATGCGCAAAATGTTTTTTCCGCATGAAAATCCGCGTCCAATTATTGCTATCTTCATCTATCGCTATTTATCATGTATCGCGTTTAATGCAACAGCTGTTTGCAAACGCGATGCATGATATCGTCAAGAAAATTCAGTAATTTGTCAGAAATTTCAGTAATTAGTCAGAAATTTCGGTGATCAAAAAAACCGCTTCTCCAATTCGAAGACGAAAAAAGAGAGACCAAAGATCGCATCGCGCGCAGATTCCGCGCGAAATCGCGTCGAGCTGGGCGCCTCGCTCGTTGATGGACGATCATTTTTATGCGTCAACGATTCTACCACCGGTTGCAGGTATTTACAAGACACCCTGCCATACATCGACCGCACCAGGACAGCGATATGGGGCTGGAGTTACGGTGGCTACGCGACAGGCATGACGCTCGCCATGGATAATCGCGGAGTCTTCAAGTGCGGCATGTCCGTGGCACCTGTAACGGATTGGGCTCTTTACGGTACGTCTGCATAAGATAATATTTTCATCCGCGGCACGCCGCACCGGTCTTCCCGAGCTCTTCATCTTCCGTTCATGAATATTCCAATCGACGTCGCGAGCAATTTTTTCCGCGATTGATTAATGGAACGCGGACGAAAAACGGCAGCGGACGCGGCGGCCGCGGGGGAGTAATCGCGACGATTCTTAAAACTACGCGACCACGGCGCCGCCGTTTAATTAATTTTCACGCCGCGTTAGGCCGTCGCGCGCCGCACCGCGCCGAAATTGCCGAAATTGCCGAAATTCGCTGACCGCCACGCTCGATTACAGCCGATGCGCTCGATGCCGCGCCGCCATTGTGCCCCGAAACTGCGGCAAAAATTTGTCGCCGATTTATCCGCGGCTCTTCGAACTTTTTCGGCAATCGCGCGGCTTCGGTTCCATTCGCTCGATTGGTTTAAATCTTTTTTAATCGATTAGTTAACATATTTATTGAATTGATTCTCGAATATCTCGCGTTTTGTTTTGTTAAATTTGACGCTCTTGGCGATTGTCCGAAGAGGTTTCAATGTTTCTAGCATTTTTCCAAGTATTTAACAACTAATTTTGACGATTTTTATGGATACAGTAATGTCTCTCTAATTGACGCTCAGATTGTCCACAAAAATGGACAATTTAGGAAGAGGAGATACGATTACTCGAGCCTTGTGATTCGTTTTTATAGTTAAGAATTGTCGACAATTATGAAAACGAGTTACACAAGGCTCGAATAATCGTATCGTGGCCCCCGAAATTGCCTTAGAATCGTGTCACGAAGCATTCGAATTGCCTTCGAATCGTGTCACGAGACATTCGAATTGCCTTCGAATCGTGTCACAAAGTATTCGAATTGCCTTCAAATCGTGTCACGTGGCCCCCGAATTGCTTTCGAATCGTGGCAGGTGGCCTCCGAATTGCCTTCGAATCGTGTCACGAAGCATTCGACTTGCCTTCGAATCGTGTCACAAAGTATTCGAATTGCCTTCGAATCGTGTCACAAAGTATTCGAATTGCCTTCGAATCGTGTCACAAAGTATTCGAATTGCCTTCGAATCGTGTCACAAAGTATTCGAATTTCCTTCGAATTGTGTGACAAAGCATTCGAATTGCCTTCGAATCGTGTCACGTGGCCTCCGAATTGCCTTCGAATCGTGTCACGTGGCCCCCGAATTGCCTTCTATTCCCAAATTGTTCATTTTTGTGCAAAATCCGTGCGTCAATTAGGAAGACATTACTGTATTACGAAAACGAAAGGGAATCCATTTTTAAACGATTCCGCACTTTGCCTTTTACAGTTTTTGAGCTTGTAAAGACCGTGCCGTGCGAAATTATCGATTGGATATCTCGAATGAATCATCCCTTCGTTCAAACGTACGTCACGAAAAAGAGAAAACCGTTTTTTGTGATCGAAGCAACACGCGTTAGTTGCTTTTCGAATTCGGTGGACTCGTTGCGAAAACACTGGGAGCACGCTGTTGCCGGAAACTTCGGCGCGATCTCTCGACCGAAGTTTCGCTTCGATAAAATCGCGAGAGCAAAACGGTCCTCCGATTCGCGGGAACGGCAATAAACCTTGCGCGGATTCGTTCGAATAAAGTTACACGGCGAAACAATAGAAATTCCGGGGGACAAATTTTTATTCGACAGCGCGCACGCGACGCGGTCGGACTCAGAGGAGCAACGCGTTGCCTGAGAGGTGGCCCGTTCGACTGTCACCAAACAATTGATTTTCGATAGAGCCTTTCTCGCCGGCGAAACACAAACCGCGAAGCGGACGCGACGAGATCGTCCCGTGCGAGCGACGGTGCTTGCTTTTTGCCGCGGGAACGGTTCGAATCGAATCGATATGCCGCGCGATGTTTGCGCAAGCTAATGAACAACTGTTTAAAATTAATTACGACGGCGATTTATGCGCACGCGTAATATCGTAATTTACCGGCGAATCTTTCCGTCGCCGGATAAATCTAAAGATTTATTCGACCACGCTTCGGTAACTCCCGAACTCGATGTTTGCGTTTCCATTTGGCTTCGCGAACCGCATTTTGCGGACCGATTTTTCTCCTCCGCGAGCTCGTCGATTCGCTTGATTCGTTTCATTCGAGCCACGCGTGTTTTATATAGTTCTGCGAACGCGTCGTTTGTGGTAGAATCGCATTGTAAGTTAAGAGCGACTTTGTATTGTAAATTGCATGGTAAATTGCATTGTAATTCTTGTCTCTGTTAAGAACGAAATTATAGCGTAACGACACAGTAAAAATATTGCGCTCTGCGAATATGTTGAAGTTGAGAATGAGGTAAAAGTTCCAGGACTCGCGTTTGACTGAGCGAACCGTGTTAAAAGTAAACCGCGTTGCGGAAAGTTACGCGAGAAAAGTCGAACGAGGACGGTTCGCGGAGGTTGCGAGCCACTTACCCGCGGTAATAGAATTGATTCGAAGTCGGAGACAATAGCGAGGTATCGCCGGGAAGTCAATTCCTTCGCGCGCAACAGCTCGATTCTTTGAATAACGGAACAAATCAGTGGAACGAAAACGGAGGGGAAGAGATAAGAGGGAAAAAAGACCGGCGAACGGGGAATGTGTACGCGCCATTGCTTCGGCTCTGGTTCGATCGATTCAATTATTGTCGGAATGTTGTAGCAGTTGACTGCGCCCGGGCTCCGAGATATCAGATTTATCAGGCAGATAAGGAGTCATCGGTCGAAATCGAGTCTCGGGCATTCAGACGTTCCCGACGTCGTCGACGTCGTCGTCGTCGACGACGATGCACATTTTTAACGCTGCTACGTTTTTCCCTCCGGTACGTCCTCCTTCAAGGAACTCTCCAAGACCCATTCCCGTTCATCGATCGCCGGTTACCTCGTTTTTCTCTTGCTGAAACATTGTTCCGATGCCGATCCGGGTCGACGAACTAACTCGGTTTATTTGTAATTCCGCGATGTTCTTTTTTTTTTTAGTGAAATATCGACAACCGCTGGGAAGAGAAAGTAGGAGAGAGACTGACTTCCTCTTCGACCACTTTTGTGTCATTCGTGATACTTTAAAAGGGCTCAGAAGTACGATTGTTTTAATCTTTCGGCCAACAAAAATTGCAACGAAGTACGAGGCTTCTATTTCTCGAACTTTTGAGCCATTTTCGATAGTTTAAATGGCTCAGAACTACGATTTTTCGTTCTTTCCAGCAACAAAAATTGCTCAAAAGTGCGGGTTTTCAATATCTCGAACTTTTGAGCCATTTTCGACACTTTAAATGGCTCAGAAGTTCGATTTTTCGACCAACAAAAATTGCTCAGAAGTTCGGATTTTCAATTTTTCGAATTTTTGAGCCATTTTCGACACTTAAAATGGCTCAGAAGTACGATTTTTCGATTTTTCGGCCAAGAAAAATGGCTCAAAAGTACGAAATTTCGATTTCTCGAACTTTTGAGCCACTTTCGACCCGTGAGAACGGCTCAAAAGTACGAGTTTTCGAAATTTCAGGAATGAAAAGTGGCTCAAAAGTACGAAATTTCTATTTGTCGAACTTTTGAACAATTTTCGAAACTTGAAAAGGGCTCAAAAGTTCGATATTCGAGCTTTCGGTCAACAAAAGTAGCAAAGAGTAAAAAAGTAAAGAAGACTAAAGAGTAAACAAGAGTATAATAGAGTAGTGTACAGTGGAATAGCATAGAATTATAATAGAATTAAAGTGAGTCAGTGAAAAGTGAGATGTCGACAAATTTTAGGAATACGAGAATAACTTCTACTTTCATTATCTAGATATTCATTTCTCTAGATATTCTATTTTAAAATGATTCACTTACCTTTAAAAGTGCCGCTTCGTTTCACAATCACAACGAAGAATTCGAAAGCTGGAAACAAGAACAAGATAAAGGATTAGAATTGAAAGAATAGGACTACAATTCCGAGCCGTATTCGCATGTTATACATCTACCTCTAGATAAAACGAGGGCGCCTAATGAAACCAACACGGAAGATCCACCAAAATAGTGTATAAGAAAGCTCCATTATCTTGTTTTGAAGTCCTGGAAAAACAGCACTCGCGATGCTTCCGCTCCGTTCGTAATAATAACTCGGCAGCTCAGGAAACGATCCAACGATGTTCTCCTCCGGAAAATACACCGCGGAATCTGTAATTTACCGAAGCAGTGTCACAGTTTAATTATCAGAGAACCGAGGGAAGAGGGAGAAGAGTACAAGAGCTATTTTGCGGAAAAATTGCAGCGCGCGAAGGGAGTCGCGCGACCGAACACGGTCGAAGCCGTGATTAATCCTGGCCCGCGAGCATAAACTCGACGTTATAAATGTTTATTAAATGGCCGGTTCGAAGGTGTATCCGTTCGCGAGTGATCGCGCGAGCCGAGCGAGAATTATTCAGTCCCTTCTGGTTTTTCCACGGCGCCGCAATTTTTCCGCGCGGCTGTAAGTCACGGGTTTTCCATTCCCAGATATTGCGGTTCAAAGTTTCAAACATCAATATCCGCCGGCAGATTCATTGCGCCCGTGTTCTCGAAGGCGAGGGGATTTTCTTTAACGCGTCCCGTTCCCGCGGAACCTGCTATAGCCGGCGAAACACAATTTCCGCGAGGCGCCGCGCGCCCCGCGAGCTCAAATTTTCCGAAAACGTGACTTATCCGCGGCTGTCCCGCGATCCCGGATTCATGTTCCGCTGCAATGTTGACATCGTGTTCTCGCTCCCCGCGACATGCACGGGAATGCGCGAATGCTGCATGAAAAAGTATGGGACGCGCGATTGTTCCATCCGTTTGAACGACGCGATGCAACGCGACGGTGCCAGCAGATTGAACGGCGACCGTGAAAATCGAATTCCGAGCGCTGTCCAATTAGCCGAGACACTTCCGTAAGCAGCAATTAACCCTTTGAGCGCTTGTGACGCGTATATACGTCATGGTCGAAGTCCGTTCACAGCGGCGATCGCGTGCATACACGATTATTGAAATTCCTTCTACAGCAATTTCTCCCAGAAATGTTGAATTGAAACCGGCAGATCCGAGAATACTAAGTCGCAACTAATGTTAACGTTTCAACGTTTATGTTAGATCGGTTTATTCGCGAGATTTTATTGCGTTTTCGTGCCCATAAAACAGAAAAAAATTCGTTTCCTATGACGTGGGGTCCCCAAAATGTCTCGCAATACGGAAATGGGGATAGCTGAGGTGATTTCGAGTAACTTTTTCCTCAGCGGAAATGCAATCCGCGGCTTCGTTTGCGAGTTATTAACGAAAAACACTGCCCAATGAAAGGCGAGCGCGCGAACTACAGCATGGCGGTCGAACGGTCGAGCGCCACGGGCTCCGACCGCGGAGCGCGACAGAAGGAGGGGGGCACCGTGCCGCGCTCGAGTCAACGAACAAGTCGCGGAGCGCGAGTTTTCCGATAATTGTAAGAAAATTCACGCGTCGATTCGCAGAGCTAATTTAATAATAAGTAATCGCATTAGAGAACGTGCAGGATATGCTTAAGAATTGTCAAGAATATTATGCTAGCAATAGACAATTACTAAAGGGGTTGAACGTGGAATGGATGAATTTTCAGTGGAACTACTTCGCTGTTATTTTCATTTAAGATTCTACGAAAGAGCCGATCGAACACAGCGAGTCCGTTCAAAGTAAAAGAAAACACAGAAACAAAGAAAGATATGCTACTTGTCGATTGTTAAGTTTCTTCTTTATTGTCGGTCTAGTTTTCAGTATAAAGATCACGTTCGGGCAAACTCGATTCCAAGCGAAAATAGAAGATAATTCACGCCGAGATAAAGACGCTCGTTAATTCCATTAGGATTACTTCGAGCACAAACGTTTTCNCTCGAAGGCGAGGGGATTTTCTTTAACGCGTCCCGTTCCCGCGGAACCTGCTATAGCCGGCGAAACACAATTTCCGCGAGGCGCCGCGCGCCCCGCGAGCTCAAATTTTCCGAAAACGTGACTTATCCGCGGCTGTCCCGCGATCCCGGATTCATGTTCCGCTGCAATGTTGACATCGTGTTCTCGCTCCCCGCGACATGCACGGGAATGCGCGAATGCTGCATGAAAAAGTATGGGACGCGCGATTGTTCCATCCGTTTGAACGACGCGATGCAACGCGACGGTGCCAGCAGATTGAACGGCGACCGTGAAAATCGAATTCCGAGCGCTGTCCAATTAGCCGAGACACTTCCGTAAGCAGCAATTAACCCTTTGAGCGCTTGTGACGCGTATATACGTCATGGTCGAAGTCCGTTCACAGCGGCGATCGCGTGCATACACGATTATTGAAATTCCTTCTACAGCAATTTCTCCCAGAAATGTTGAATTGAAACCGGCAGATCCGAGAATACTAAGTCGCAACTAATGTTAACGTTTCAACGTTTATGTTAGATCGGTTTATTCGCGAGATTTTATTGCGTTTTCGTGCCCATAAAACAGAAAAAAATTCGTTTCCTATGACGTGGGGTCCCCAAAATGTCTCGCAATACGGAAATGGGGATAGCTGAGGTGATTTCGAGTAACTTTTTCCTCAGCGGAAATGCAATCCGCGGCTTCGTTTGCGAGTTATTAACGAAAAACACTGCCCAATGAAAGGCGAGCGCGCGAACTACAGCATGGCGGTCGAACGGTCGAGCGCCACGGGCTCCGACCGCGGAGCGCGACAGAAGGAGGGGGGCACCGTGCCGCGCTCGAGTCAACGAACAAGTCGCGGAGCGCGAGTTTTCCGATAATTGTAAGAAAATTCACGCGTCGATTCGCAGAGCTAATTTAATAATAAGTAATCGCATTAGAGAACGTGCAGGATATGCTTAAGAATTGTCAAGAATATTATGCTAGCAATAGACAATTACTAAAGGGGTTGAACGTGGAATGGATGAATTTTCAGTGGAACTACTTCGCTGTTATTTTCATTTAAGATTCTACGAAAGAGCCGATCGAACACAGCGAGTCCGTTCAAAGTAAAAGAAAACACAGAAACAAAGAAAGATATGCTACTTGTCGATTGTTAAGTTTCTTCTTTATTGTCGGTCTAGTTTTCAGTATAAAGATCACGTTCGGGCAAACTCGATTCCAAGCGAAAATAGAAGATAATTCACGCCGAGATAAAGACGCTCGTTAATTCCATTAGGATTACTTCGAGCACAAACGTTTTCGGTGATCTCGGCGAGCGAAAAACAGCATAGCTCGAGTTCGATCGAATTAAAAAAAGTCAGTGCGGCCGTTCCGATGGAAACGGCGCTTTGAAGTGTGCCCCCGCGGCGTAAAAAGGGCGCCCACATGGCCGGGCGAGCGGGGCCAACAAATGGAACAAGCGGAAAGGGCGGTGCGGGTCAAAGAAATCGTAACTTGCTAATTCCGGGAAATAAAAGAACTCGGCCGCGATTTGTTCCGGTGAATTTAGCACGTGGGGGACCGAACAAGGTCGCCGATGCCGGGACTGGAAGTATACGCGGTCGTAAGCGTCTCTTCGAAACGAGAAGAAACACTCACGGCAATTGGCGCAGCGGCCCGTTAAACCGGAAACGAACGGTTCCTCGGGAACGACGCGGCCGGGCGCGCGCGCGCGAGATCCGTGTACACCGTTTTCTGTCCGCTATAAATCATCGTGGCCAAACATTTTATTAAAACCGCTTATTCACAACGCGCCGCGAAATGATTCGATCATTTTTCACGTCGACCCGGCTTCCGGTTTTCGCGGGGAATTTCATCGCCGTTTCCCCCACGCTTTTCCCCCGGCCAACACGTTTTCCCAGCCATTGCTCGTACAATTTTATCGGAGTCCTAGGAGGTTCGCCTATCTTTTCGATTACATTAAAGTCCTCGATAACGATTTCTATTCAAAGCTCGCCGTTCCGCGAACGGCGTCGGAACGTTTGTGCTCGCTGGTAAACGAGATACGTTTCTCTAAATATTTGTTCGGCTGCCGAAAATTAATTGCGGATTGCCCGGGGTATCGGGTCGCTTCACGATACTATTTATTTGAAGACGGCGATGGTTCGGTTGAAACTTACGTTTAGAGAAGCCCGATGATTGGCCAATTATTTCGCATCCAGGGAAACGCATTTGTACAGGGTGTCCCAGGTGTTGATGCTCGAACCTTGTCGGTGTATCCAATGCCACTGAACAAAAAGAAATGTTACGTAAATATAGGTCATTTAGAGCTTTGGTGAACAATATTTATCGTAACGAAAATACAGAATTCGAGTGGAACAGTATACGATTTGCTGTTACTATGAGCATTGGTTCCAATTGTATCTATACTATTTCCTATATATATATATATATATATATATTTTACATGGTCACTTGCACTACTCCTGTTGTTACTGCGAACATTGGCTCAAGTAGATCAGCAATATTTACGTTGAGTGTGATTATGTAAGCTGTAATTACTAGCTGTAATATAGCTGTAATATATATGTATAAGCTCTAATATAATATAGCAGCAGTAGTATATATATACTAGTACTGTATAATATATATTATACTACTAATAATAATATATATACTACTACTATATAATATATATTAATATTATATAATATTATATTATATTATATTATATTATATTATATTATATTATATTATATTATATTATATTACAATATTATAATATTATATACANGTAGAGGGATGTCCCAGGTTTTAATGTTCAACATTTCTCAGTATATTATAGTATATATATTCGTATATTATTGTTAGTATATATATACTACAATATACTGAGAAATGTTGCACATTAAAAGCAGGGACACCCCGCTGCACACATATTGTACAGAGTAGGGAAAGAAAATGAACGAGATCTCGCCTTGGCGCGCGGGGTGAAACGGGCGAAAGTATAAAGATGGAAAGGTCAGGGTAAAGTAAATAAAGAAGCGGGAACTGCGGGTGCGGGTGTACCGTGGCGCTCCGTAATTTAACCTTATAATTAACTCGATTTACAGATTCAATTTACACGGAACGGTTCATGGGTTTGCCGACGGTCGAGGACAATCTCCACGGATACGAGCAGGGCCAGCTGCTCAACAAGGTAGACAATATTAAAACGAAGATGTACTACCTGATCCACGGGACTTTGGACGACAACGTGCACTATCAGCAATCTCTGCTGCTCGCCAAGGTGCTCGAGCAGAAGGACATTCTGTTTAGACAACAGGTAACCAGTTCACTTTGTAATTAACATTAGCCGGTGTCCATATTGTTGGGAGGCCGTTCGTCGCACGGCGTACACCGTAAACCAACTGCAACAGATATAAACGTTCTTGAACGGAGTATGCTAGGGTGAAGTGCTTGTCTTTTTAATCGTTTTTAGGGAGTTTTTTTGTGAAGAAACTGTTATACCTTTCGCAGTCAAATCGACAAGGTTTATTCGTGCGTGTTTCAACGACGTTTCAAAATATTTTTAGTGGCACTGCATACTCTCAAATGTAGTCGTTGTTAAAAAAGGTTGTCTCACGGTGTCCATGATTCCGGCCATTTAGCTTGTCTGCAATAAATAAAGAAAGTTCCTTAATTAGTATGAATATTTGGACATAGCAGGCACTATAACAAAAGAAAGAAGTGGCTGTACTTTGAAACTCGGTAAGAAATCAAAGAAGCAGAAAGGAAGAAAAATTTTTGCTAGATCCTAGTCGAGGCTGTAGTCAGACATGTGCTAAATGTACTTTATGTATGTATGTACTTGAAATTTTGAGTCAATTAGTCAAGTAGATTTTGAGATGTCATGGATACCGTCCAGAAAAATGCATTTAAAGTACGGTGCAGTAAATTCTCCACAATTGACCCTCAGCTTGGAAAGAAAAGTGGGCAATTTAAAAAGAGGAGCTGCGATTATTCTACAGTAGATTATTATTACTCTTATTATACTATAATCTTATTTCTATAATTATTGACAATTGGTAACTATAAAAACGAGCCGCAAGGCTTTAATAATCGCATCTCCTCTTCCCAAATTGCCCAGTGTTGTGTACAATCTGAGAGTCAATTAGGAAGAACTAAATCCTCTTATTATACTATAATCTTATTTCTATAATTATCGACAATTGGTAACTACAAAAACGAGCCGCAAGGCTCTAATAATCGCATCTCCTCTTCCCAAATTGCCTAGTTCTGTGTACAATCTGAGGGTCAATTAGGGAGAACTAAATCCTCTAAGATCATCCAAAAAGAACAAATAGATTCTTTGTAAAGTTCACGCTAGAATACACGCTCAAGAAGAGAAGCGAAATCGTGTCCACCTTCGAGAAGGTGTTCCGCTTGAAAACCGGGCGCAGTCTCTTTGAAAATCGTGTGAGTGAACGGTGCGCATCCTTCTGTTGCAGACGTACACGGACGAAGATCACGGGATCGCGCAGTCCAGGGCCCACTTGTACCACTCGTTGGAGAACTTTTTGGACGAGTGCTTCGAGGCCTCATGATCGCAGCGATCGGCGTGAACCGACAATCTAGATCCTCCGCATCACCTGCCTCACATCCCACCTGTAAATAAACCGTCACGTGTACATACTCGATGTACAATATGTAATATGAAGCGTTAGTGTGTATATAATCGAGGGAGAGCCGAAACTATATAGGTACACTCGACGCCAAAAAACGGTCGCAAAAAAAATGAAGGAAGAAAATGAGAAAGAAGAAGACGAAGAGGAAAACCGTGTCGTCCCCGCCCACCCTCCACCCGCCCCTTCTGCTGTGGTTCGGCGAGAAACAAGAAA